GATTTTAAATATTTTTGTAATATTAGTTTTATTACATGTAAATATTTAATTTTTAAATAATAAGCAGTTAAAAATTAGTTGTGTCTTTTTATTGGAAAAAATTTAAAAAGCGCCGACGCTGTCAAAATAATCATATATATTAGAGCTTATTCAAGGACATTAAAGTATAGTGAACCAAGAGTTATAAGGTTATATGGCCATCATAAAAGTAGTTGACCGCAAATAAATACCCCCTTTGTGTGGTTCGCACTAAGCTTACCGGTTGGCAATAAATCATCTTCTAAACATTTCTTGCTCATATTTAACAGGGCCGGCTTTCAAAGCGAGTGGTTATTTCGGAACCCTCAGCGGCTGCAGGTAGTAAAGAAATAGTGGAGTGGTGGATTTTCATATTTAGTAAAAGCCGCCCCTGAACGAAACCACAAGAGCCGGTCGAGCTGCAGTGGACACGTTATTTACGACCCTAAAACCTTTTCTATTGTAAACAACTTAACTTCGACACAATGGGATGATTTTATGATGGCCATATAACCTTATAGCTCTTGGTTCACTATACTAAATAGAATTAAATACTGTTTGCTAGGAAACTAACAATATACACAATAGTCAACTTCTAAAGAAGTGATGATGCGGTGTGGACCAAAAGGTATTTTGTTTGGAGATGGGCGGTTATCATCGGGTTTGTTATCGGATGGCTAATCCCTTTGTCGGAGAATATAAAACAAATTTCACTAATGATTTTAAACACTTGTTAAATGCTGTTTGCTTCCAAGTGGTATTGTTATAAATTTATTAATATTATTTTAAATTTACATCGATTGAAAAAGTAATGTGCCACTCATCAGTGCCACAAATAAATTTTCTTGTTTCTTTTTATCTTAAATTTTTTGTTTCATATGTAAATACATCAGGTCACCACGTCTAGCTCTATGGGCTTTTTAATGGAATTTTAGAATGTAATATCTCTATTATTAGTAGAATTATTGTTACGAAATTTCAAATATAACACAAATTTGTTTATGTAACTTTTATTCAGTTTTTTTTTATAGTTTACTAGCTGACCCCGTGAACTTCTGCAAAATCAAATGCTTTGAAATCTTGCAGATGTTTTAAACATATGATAAGCATAATAAATTTTTATTCAAAATATATTTACTAATCCTATTTAAAATGTCCAAAATAGGATGAGACTATACTTGTGATTAATTATTCCATTCATATTTTTTAGTTTTGCTTATAGAGGGTGTCTCAAAAAAATTAATCACTAAGTCAATTTATTTTATTGATTGAATCAAGAATTGCAAAACTGAATTTTGAAATATTACAGAGGTTTTGCAGTTACTGTTTGACATGGTAGGTTTTCAATCAAAATATATATGTGTTTATCAAGCCCAAAACTTGAAGACGCCATCTCAAGATTTTGCCGAATAAATCCTATCTAAAATGTGGAAAATATCATCAGTATATTTTCGTAATTTATCATTGCATTCATATTTTTTAGATTTCCTTTTACAGTGACTCAAAAAAATATATGGATCAGTAAATTTATTTTAGTGAATAACTCAAGAGTTGCAAAAATGAATACTTTGAGATTTTGCAGACGTTTTAAAGTTATTGTAAGCATGGTAAATTGTTAAGAATATTTATTTATAGCCCCCAAAAAATTGATGGAATGGCTCACTCGATTTTCGCAGATAATTTTGGGAATACAATACAGTTATTTTTAGTATTATACTGCACCAATCCAAGGTGGTATACGTGTTGATCGTAAATGTTGATTATAGTTGGATTCATGTATCTTTTTACACACGTGACCAAAAGCTAACGTCCGAACTAATAACTGTTACTTTGTAGTAATTAGTCAAAAAGATGACAATGTTCATAACGTCAACATGACACAAATGTGTAAGCTCAGGCAAGTCTATTGGTTTCGGTGCTTTCCGATTGGGTCGTGATTTTGTCAGACTGGGAAGGACGCCGAGTCTTTCTTTTCGCTTTTTAATCTTCGAAACCCTTCGGCGAGTAACGCCTAGAGCATCTCGCTAAAAATTTGAGCGAAATTATTAATTATAACCTTCAAGTGGTTTTTACTTACTTACTCGTTCTGTACCATTTAATGAGATTAAAGGACCACCGTTTTCCTTCTCAAGAGCAAAATACTCTATAAAGTTGGACATGATGCCCTGAGCCCGGGAACTCAAACGTTTGCCCGTCATGTTGTAGACCAAACACGAACAAGAAATAAGATAACAAAACATAAAAAATAGGACAACGAAACAAGAATCCTAACAACCAACGAACTTTACGAAGAACTGAATAGAACACTTGAATAGAACAACGAAAAACTGCGATTAACCACTCTGAGTAAAACCAAAAATGACAGTGACGTTTGATGAAAAATCGATGAATTATTATCAGTCACTAGATTGACTACATCAGTGCCTGTCGCACAATGTGGACGCATTTATTACGTATTTTATCTTTTTCTAATTCAAGGAACTTTGTGGAAGAGAATAACTGACGTAGAGCGTAATTTGGCCTAATTTCGATAGACATACTATTTGCCTGGGTCTTCGTTTTTGTAATCCTTAAAGCAAAGATTCTTATGGTAGGTGCTGTCTAAGCTTGTATGATACTTCGGTCACGTGTGTCAAAAAACACATGAATCCAACTATAGGTCATCACAAAATTGCGTGAAGAAAAGACTCAACTCGAAAATGCTGAATATGTTTCATTATACTTTTGGTGCGAAGGAATTTCTGTCGAAACAACGTTCGATCAATTTTTTGACAATGGTTGATATAAATAAAACTCAGTAGATGCTCATACTCGAAATACGAAGTATCTACTGGAATATCAAATCAAGATATTTCTAGTTTTTCTAGATGATATTAATACTTCAGTAGGTAATAGGTGATGCTCAAGTAGCATCTCGATACAACAAAAAAGGACAACAGTGACAGTGTTCAACCATCAAAGAAAAAATCGATTCACCAAAATATAAGTTAGTATGGGGTAGACACCTTGAGATCGGAATCTCTATGGCCTGTGTTATAAAAAACGCACTGCACAATTTATGCATAAATAAAAGTTAATTACCTGAAAAGTTTTCGATATTCCTGCTCCTAATGTGTTTTTCAAACTGAATGCACCTTTTGACGACGTTCCACGTTCATGAAAGTCGCCATGTTTAGTTAAAATTCACTCTTACAACGAGCCTACTCGTTTTCTAAGCTGCTTTACAGACAGCTCAGTTATTTGCCACGCCGATCCTCATTTTTAGATTAAATGCTCACGTAGATGTTCAATTTGTGTCCGGGGAGATACAATGTTTCCAAGTAAGGTACTCAGTACATAGAGTAGATGCTCAGGTATATAAGAGTAATAATGAAGTAGGTACTTCGTACTTCGAATATTAGTTTCTACTCAGTTTTATTCATACCACCCAATGTTTCGCTTCAATGTTTGATTATGTTGATTATGAGCACAACGCTGATCAACTTCCAAATCCGAGTTACCCATGAAATAAATCATTGCGGTTTGCACCTGAGGTAGTTCGTCGCACATTTGATTGACTTCGTGGACCTATGTCAGCTTGTCGTCTTCTCGGCATTTTAATGAACTTCATAAATTATCAGTGGGGATGTGCAGTCAAATTTTATTAGCGATACTGCGCGAAAATTCTAAACTAAATAGATTGAAGTTGAGTAATTGCCAAGGTAAAACCACTAACAGCTGACAGAAAAACGGAATTGGCTGACCTACCTTTTCGAATTTTAGGAGCTATAAAACGTCGAAAGAACTTTAAATTAGCTATTCGGCAAATGAACAATTCCACAAAAATATTGTTTCGTCCAGAACTGTCGACCAGACTCCATTAAAGTTGGATTGTTTCGCTATCACTACATCCTGGGCGTAGTTGGTATTCAAAACGAGCGCTCCTTAGTGGTCGCTTTGCTCAACTAAAAAATACGATAGGGAGAAATACAACAGTGACATCAACAGAAAATTATGATTTATATTTATACCTACTGAAGAGAGACTTCCGTAAAATTTGTCGGCGTCATCCTATGTGATGTTGCACGTGGCCAGCCAGGAGTTTTTTATCGTTGTTTGAAACGTCACCATAACGGTAGGCCAAAAGTCTCGAGGAGTCAGTCCAAAGTAAAATGGCCAATTTCAGTAAAATAAATAGAAAATTCGCCACTAGCACGGAATGGGACGACTTGTACCAACTCGACAACGTGCCGTGGACAATGACAACCATAATAATGAAAAATGGATGTTCATCGCGCTTGAGCAAGGAATATCACAGTGTTCACAAAACTTTAGACAGAAATTGAATCTCTTCCCTGACAAATTATAGAAATCGTCATGTATTAGAAAGAAATGGTAGAAAAGAGGGAAAATTAAATGAAAAGGATTTCGTCTTCTTATCTGAAGGATTGTGAATAGCTCATAGCAGGTTCCAGATTTCATATCTTTTGTTGGAAACCTTCACAGTTTCTTTCGCTCTTTCTTGTATTTTCAACTCTCTAAAAATTCAGTCTCAACTATCTTCATACAAACTGGTTTTATTGGTTGCCTAACCTGTTTTTAGGTAAATATAACTTTTATAGTACAATATATTCATTTGATTTTTTTTGTACTTTTAACAAGGTTTATTATACAACATTGATCCAAAACTACAACTATTATTATCAATCATGTTTAAAAATAAGATCGTAATAAATCAACAAAAATATGACTTCACATTTGTTGATTGCGATACTTTATTTTTGATTTATTAAGTAAGACGTTCAGGAAAATTTGTAGTACCACATTAAGCAGCAGTATTGATCTAAGTTTGCTGATCTACAGTGGCGGCATCTAATTCAACAAGTCGAAAAACACATACCTTTTAAAAACAAAGTTAAGAATTTCTCAGAAATAAATTCCCAATTTGTTGCTATGGCTTATGAGATAACCTTAAATAATCATTGATAAGCTTGTGTGCATGTACGCTTGACGTTTTATTTTCTATAGAAGTTAACGAACAACTGCTGGTGTTGTGCTGTGGTATTTATTTTGAAAGCACCTCTTATTTTAAGATATTTCGATAATCATGTTTTTGAAATCATCTCTTTTTTTTGTTCTATTCATTGTTGGTGTTTACGGATACCACGACTGTAAGTTTTATTTTTGTTTTTCACCATTTTATTTTAATTCAATCAACAAAAAAAGATACTAAACATTAATGTAATGTAGATAGTGCAGAAAATATTATTTTTAATCATGCATATTTCAGGTTCTGATAAACCCGGTAATGTAGAGTTTCTTTCGGTGAAAATAGATGACTGCGATGTTAATAAAGGAAGATGCGTCGTAAAAAGAGGCACGGATATTAAAGTCGCAATTACGTTTACTGCAAGTAAGTGCATACAATTAATAATTTTATGTTCTAAAAATAAATAACTTGTCAAGTACCTATGTCAGCTTAGCATATTCAGAATATTTAGATAGGTGTTAAATTCTATAAATCGTCGTAAGTCCAAAGTAAACACACGAACAAACAGTTTTATAGACAACAACGTTATTTCGTGTTCTTGTTAACGCACATATGCATTTAATTAAGGTAAATACTTCTCTAGAATCATCATAGATTTTTTGTGTTCTAGAAGCTGACTTCAATAAGGTCAATGTTGAACCTTATTTTCTAAAAGGCGACGAACGTAAATATATAACACTGGACAATTACAATGCATGTAGTAATTCCGGAATTGCATGTCCCATCAAAGAGAATGAAACCTATACGTATCAAACTTTGGTTTCAATATATAAAATGATCGTAAGTACATTTGTTCTAAGAGCTTTATTGACATCGTGATTGCAATAATAAGTAAATACCCTATAAAGTTGTAAAATGTGATAATTTACTTTTAAATTTATATTTAATTTCATTGCAAAATAAATTTAAAAAGAATAATGGCTACGATTGCGACTGTCAACATCGTACCCCTTAACATTAATTATTATATATATTTTTTAGGGCAACAAAGATATCAAATGGGTATTCCAAGATGAAAATAAGAATGGATTGTTTTGCGTTATGGTTCTTCTGGAATCGGTAGATTAATACGTGTATTAACAAGAAATATATATATATTATTATGTATGTTATTTATTGTCTATGAAACTGTAGTGATATACATTTTTTTATTATCACATGTGTTATTGTAGCAACAAATCAAACAAAATATTTGTATTTTTTGAGCAAATGCTAAAAACTGATTACAGATAATATTGTCTATTCAGATTCAATATGTTCATTGTTGTTACCGTGTAAACTATTTAGTTTAATCCTGTTGTTTACATGCTACGTTTACTTAATTATTTTATTATCTTCAGCTGACTGCAATAAACTGTGTGAGAGAACGTTGCATTGTGAAAATGTAATACAAAATAAAGTGTAAGTGTTTTATATTAGTCAACTTTAATTTTTTTATGTTTACAAATTTTATTTTCTTATCAGACGAAAATGAAATAAATATCTAATTAAGTGTTGTATATCATTGTCATCGCAGTTTAATGATAATATCAAAATCCTTTAAAAAATATACGATACAATTAAAAAAGGTTTATGTAGTAAACATCGACGCCATATGTGCGTCATATTTGTAATGTACTGAATTAAGATATCCCCTTCAAACTAAAAACAATGGCGTTTCGAGAATTTCAATAACTCTATCCGTTCTCAAGGTTTAACTGCGACATCAGAATACAACAAAAATGAGTGTCCTTTCAAGCAGTTTAAACTAATTCCCCAAGCAGGAGATATATTAATAATAATAATAAGATTTATTCTTAAACAGGTTTACACCCAATAGCATGGAAATTATTCAAATTATTCCAACTCTTCTAACTTAACATAAAGGTATTCCAAGACGGATGATTCACAACAATCTTGAATTTTTATTAGTAATTTTTAATCTCTAACACATCTTGAATATTAGTTAAGTTATAAGACCTGTTTATTTAATTTATTTAGTTACATCGTTACAGTTACTTCTTGCTTTTCTATATAATAACTGACTACTTCTTGCCGAATTCAAAAATGAATGAACAAATCCCCTTACACGCTCATCCTTTCCGTAATCATCGAAATGTAAGCAACATTCCTCCCGAACGAGAGTGCTCCCCGTGTGGTGTCGGGTGCGAGTGTGGTGAATAGCGAAATTGTGGCAAAGAAATGGCATTTCCGGGATTAAATAAAAGCTGCTTATTTCCCTCCTATATCTCCTCCGGTTTCCCAGACCTTTCATAAGGCGCAATCCATACTAGGTAATCATATCATATCGGGATATTAAAGTCGTTCGATGCCTGATTTATGGACTTCTAGTCTGGCCTGTTCTCGCCGAACCTTATAGAAATGCGTCGATAAATTTCCCGGTCCCGTTACAGGAATTGTAGATTTCCCGTTACAGTTTTATTGCGAGACTCGGACAGGGCGTGAAATTGAAAAACTTTGTTATAAAAATAGTCCGCAGGGAGATGATATCTCTTACATGAAACAATTACTGACTGCACTCGCTGACGCCGCCATCTGGACTTGATCAAGAAGTTACGATTGGTGGATGCGAGGGGTTTAGCGGGGTCAGTTTAGATAAGGAGGAAAAATTTAAACATTCGACAAAGTTTCAGCGAAAGAATGTTGAATAATACTGTTGAAGAATAATACAATGTACAACTAGTTTTTGCGGTATTTTACTAATTCTTGGTGGATGCGCCGGGTTAGGATTGTTAATCTGAAAATTGTTCAAATCAGTCTTTTCAATACTTGGTTATTAATAATAATACGAAATTTCTTGTCCAACAGTTTATCCTATTTATAGGACAAATTAAAAAAGCATTTACATACTTAATTATAAATAGAATACAACATAAGTAACCCAAATTTCAATAAAAATAAGATTTAAACTAACTAACCCTGTCACAATTACAGTTGGAAAAGTGTGACATTGTGCTAAAAGTATAACTTTTTAATATATTTGTTTTTTGTGTAGATAGATAAAACCACTATGAAAAACGTGAAGATATAAACTATATATTTGCTGAAAAATTCTGTAGATTGTTACTGTCGTCTGTTCGTTTCCTTGTTTGTATCAATACCATGAGTTTTAATCAATATTTGAGAACTGTTTTCTGAACACATTCTAACTGAAGCTCATAACAGAGCCCAGCATATTTCAGCTTACTAAAAATAAACGCCTTGTCAACAAGAATTTAAAGCTCGTTGATGTCTTTCAGTTTCAGTGGAATATCATCCACATTGTGACGAATCCGTATCAATCAAATATAATTTCATTGTGTAAAACATTTATTTTCTACTGATCTTAAGTTGGTCCATACAACACAAAACAGTTAATTGATTGAAGTTCCTAGACATAAATGAGACACTGCAACTAAAGCCAGTCAGCAGATCATTAATGAAAAAATGAAGTAGTATGGATCCTTGAAAAACTCCAGATTTTAATACAAATTCATAAGAGTTAAAGCTATGGAAATAAACACGGTTCATCAAATTCTATGACAAAAACTTCAAAATATATCATCACCAGATGTAAATTTGGTAACAAGTTTAGTTAGAACTTCTAAAAGTTGTAAGCTCTAAATTTAAGAATTGTTGTTTAAATTATTGTAGATAAATGCATTGGACTTCAGCATTTTATACTCAAAGGTCTAACAATCTAGTAAGGTGGTATAACTGTGTCGGAACATTTTTTCTGTTTTCGTGTTCTCATGAAACCTGCGTCGCTTAATAGTTACAAAAATAATTCACTTAAATTAATAAGTCGAAAGAAATTCTAAAACAAGAAGTTAAGCAAAACAGCAACAAGATTTCATTTCACGTTGTCTTGGGATATTTGGTTAAGAGATGAAAATTAATTATGTAAAATAGCAATTGTGAAGAGTTTATTTCAAACGAGGCATTTAAATAATGTTAATTCACTTGGCATTGTCAGAATTTGAGGGACATTATTTTCTACTCCGAATTATCATCAAACAAAGAACATTTAATATTCAATAATTCGAGACTCGGCTCTACTCCAGCCTCCAAATTTATGCAAATTTATTGAAAAGCCAAAACAAGAGCATTACTTTTGAACATAAATGTAACCGAATTAGCAAAGTGGAACAGGGAAAGTTTCCAACTAAAATAATACCGGAATATTTTCCGTGCATAAGTGACTTTGTCAAAACTAATTTATTTATTTAAATTACTCATTTATTTCAGCAAATGTGCAAACGCCATGACATCTGCGTCTCTTCTCAACCCTCAGTCCTGTTCGATAGTTGTAAGATTTTAAGCCGAACTCGTTATTTGTAACCGCCTTTATTAAATTTAAAATGAAAGCCATGCGTTTTCTTCTCTATTATCTCTGTAATTTCTTTATCTCGTTGAGACCCAGATGGCGAGAACTAAATCATTCCTTCCGGGTATATTAAAAGAAATCTAAAATTGAACAGTCCCTCTCTTAACCCTAGGTGTCTTCGAGATATAAAAACGATGTGAAATATTAAACCGAGCAACAAAAGTGCGAACTCGTCCGAACAATTCCAACGTGGAAATATCAAGTTCAGCGGCGTAACAGACGCCCTGAAGGCTTGAAGGGTGGGGGTTCAGTGTACTGGAGTTAAGTTCATAGTTTCGATGATGAGAAGCAAACATTACTAATAAGCGGAAAATTAAAAGACAAATAATTTTGTTTATTTTCGAAATAAATTGCAATGTTGATAAATTTTCAAAATATAAACAGGGTTATACTACATAATATAACATAATATGGTACATTTCATACCTGTGGGCTCTTCTTGGCATGTGTTATTTATTTTTCAACTTCTTTAATTTTTTTTTTGTTTCTGGTGATATCATTTGCGTTAATATATAAAAAAAAATAATGGCTTACCGTCTACTCGTTTCAGTATTCAGTGTAAGTTACCTATCTGTAATGGCTGAAATCTGAATGCTGAAACAATGAACTGATACAATATACCTATACAGTATCCCCGGATTGAGTTCACAAGAGGGAAAAAAACTTTATTTTCTATTTTACAAAAAAATGACATAGGAATAGCATTTTTTGCTTAATTCAAAACGAATAAATCTGCAATTAAAATTTTAATATTATCAGACTGTGTCCTTAAAATCGAAAAAAACTAAAAACTTAGAAATATGAAAAAAATAATTTTAAGAGTACAGACCAGGAACCAGGAATATTGAAGTTTTAATTGCAGATTTATTCGTTTTGAATTAAGCAAAAAATGTCATTTTTTTGTAAAATAGAAAATACAGTTTTTTTCCTCTTGTGAACTCAATCCGGGGACATAATGTAGATGAAAATTATATTTGACAATATATCTGCTCTGACATTTCCATAAATGTCATAAATTATTTCATTTCCAATGGAAGGGGCTACACTTTTAACAGCGTTATTTTTCTCTTATTTTTTTGATTTAACACTTTTGGAATAATAGTTTTTTTACTAAAACGATTTATAGTTCTTTTGAAATTTAATAAAGACTGGTTTTGCTTTAGCTTAGTCTACAAACTAAACTGGTAAATTTAAAAACAAATATTTTTGACATATTGTCCATGTTAACCATTCACGAAAATCTAATAGATTGTTGAAACCATTTTACAACAAACCGAAAATAGTTTAATGCTAATCAATGATCATATAGGAGTATTAATTTTTTTCATTTTTTTTTGTGTTAATATATTGTTTTAAACTCCAAACTTTTTTTCTTTGAATAATTCATCTTATGGTGAAATAGATCATTTGCAACTTCTAACATATTCAAAATGTACTCGTTTCAACGTTGCTGTAACCCGGTCACAACCAAAAAACTACGTAGATGGCATAAATTTGGAGTCAAATAATTATGTTAATATAGATTTATTTTTCGATTCGTTGTGGCACTAGATAGTTCATGGTCAATCAGTTTTGGACTAAATTTAAAATTCTTTTCTAAAATGCTCTATCTTTATGGCAGGTATAATTAAAACTTGACCACAAAAATTATTGTGAAAATATAACGGGTGATCAAAAAAATTTTAGAATCAAAAAATTTTTAGAATAGAGTTGGCCACGGAAATATTCGTCATGTCTTTGATTAAACTGCAAATGTCAATATAACTTCATTTGTACTTCAATAATTTGGACTTTTGACATTTGTAATTTAATCAAAAACATGACCAATACTTCCATGGCCAACTCTAATCTAAAAACTTTTTGATCACTCGTTACATACAAAATTATGAGTGCCTTAAATATACCTAAATTTAGAAACAAAGATTCTTCAGAACGTCAGTAACAGTAATTAATTTTTACTGTCCCAAGGTAAGTTAAGTTTACCATACATAATATTGTAAATTTTCAGGACTTATCAAATATGGAAATGTCAATTCCTCGTTTCCGTCTGTCTGTCGTATCGTATGTCTGGTTGATTACTGGTTTGATTTTATTACGTACCGTCATGCTGATTACTGTGAAACTGTGGGTACA